ATTTCGAACCGCTTATATGACAAATTAGAAAATCTGCCGGTAATTATCCTTCAAATAGAGATTATGAAATATATAGGTTTGCAATTGAATTCAAAGTATAGATACACAAAGTTTTAACTCAGATGGCTTTTTGAAGCGTCTTTACAGACAAAGGTTGAGTTTGTTGAAAGAAGAAGTGATAAAGACAAAGGTTTGTGTAATGTTGCAATTCATTATGGTTTCAAACAATATTGCTGTATCCGTTGAAGTTTAGAAGTTTGACAAGATATGTAGTTTGTAGACGTCGATTCTTATATGCAGGATACAGAAATGATTTTGACACGATTTAGCAGAACTTTGACACCAGGTTTTAAACCATTGTTTCATATTTCATGACTCAGATATTTCTAATTTTCATGCCAAGACAAATTCACATACCGAGAGAGCACAATTGTTAGAAGCAAACAGGAGTGTTATTTATGAATGTTCGTAGATGAACTGACCTTATGTGCATTAGATGAAAGGTCTTTATATTGATTATTGTATAACAATATTTGTCAGTTATGGTCTATTTATGGCGCTTCTAAACGACATTTTCTGGCAATGTCAAAGTCTTTTAGTTTGTATCAGAATGGTTGTTATAATACAAAGAAATTTTTTCTGAGTAAGTTAAAAAAATAATTTTTTTATCTCGATAGAAAGATGGCAAATTCATACCTCAGTACCAAGTAATGTAGGACTAAAGAAGAATGACCCATTACATGATTTGAATGGTTTTATTCGTACATTTTTTAGACAAAGTCTTCATTCGAGTAGTGATTGCGAAATTCCAATATGGGTTTTTCATATCGTCCTTATCGTTTCCCATTCAAAACCAAAAATTTTTTTTTTGGGAATTTTATTTTTTTACTGCCAATTTGAATCTAAAAAATGGGCGATTATTCGGTTAATTGTGATTGAAATATTCATTAATTAAATAAGTATTTTACAATATTTATTTTTATTATCCATATTCTCTATTAAATCAACATTTTTTTCTATATATTTAATTTTTTATTTTTAATTTTCTCCATAATTTTAGACGATTTATGTCATTATTAGCATAAAATATATATTTTAGTATACTTATTTCATTTTATTCAGATTTAGGTCTTGGGATTGGGATACCTCTTGTCCAATTCAGAGAAGTTTGAGAGTTGGGTGGGCGTACCATATTCGTTATCCAAGTGTTACTCACGAATTTAATTTATTTATGATTATTTGGATGACATATCTAATTTTATAGATAAAATTTTCAGTGCGACACAATTTTTTTTTGAGAAAATTTCTTTTTTTATATTTAATTTATAAGCTCACGTATTATTAACAACGAGACAAATTTCTATGAATCATTTAATGCCGTCAAAATAGACATGTCTAAACTGTTTTTGAGTGACTTTCGATCGATGTCTGATTGCATATCAGACATCGAGCGAAGGTCGCTCATAATTGGCAAGCACGAATCATACGATCAATACTATAGCTTCGATTACAAGCCTGTTTTGTGCAATTTTTTTGGCTCGGTTCTGATTTTTCATTAGTCTTCGAGCGAAAGTCTCTCAATTGGCCTGCAGTTATAAGAGTGAAACTCTAGTACCGAATTAGAAGTTGCTTGAGAGACTCTCGTCGCGTTGGGATCTGCATCAGACTTCGGAGCGAAGCTCTCAAATGGTAAGACCTGCTACGATTGTTGGCAGGGTTTGGCGTATGTGTTTCGAGCAGAGTTTGAGCTCTTCTAGATATTCCTTTGTGATTGGAAGAAATTAGAAGAGTCTCACTCTATATTTTGTGAATTGTATGCCCGGCCTTTGAGTGCCGGGCTGCGTAATGAATTTCGAGTAGGATTGGTACAATGCGGCGGCAACGCGAGCAAATTTGGATAGTAACGTTTACATCCACAAAATGGATTGTCAAAATTTTATTCCCAATTTACAAAACGAGCGGTTATGACATCCCAAGGGCTTAAATTCGGATACTCGCATCTCTAACCTTGAGGTGATTTAGGTATTTAATTTGGTGGGTACTTGCTGGAACTGGAGTTGCTAGGGATGTTGTGGTTTTTGCAGCTTTCAGGTTTCTTTGCGCTTTGGAGGCATTTCAGGAAGAGAGTCAGTCATCCGTTTTGTGTCCTGTCGGAGGAAAATTTTTTCCTGTGGAAGGAAAAACTTTTTTCTCTGTCGGAGGAAGGTTTTTCTTGAAGTTCGACCCAAAGAGTTCTCTTTTCGAAAATTTTGATATGGTCTTACGGACTGAACTGGAAAGAGTTCTCTGGAAGGAAAAATTTTCCTTTTGTCGGGAAATATATTTCCTGTCCGAAAGGAAGATTTTTTCCCTTTGTCGGGCAATTATTTTCCTGTCGGATGGGGAAGAACTTGGAATGCACGAAGACTTTGACGAGGCAATTTACTAATTGAATTACGACGGTAAAGATATTGGCAAGGATGAAGACCCAGGTCAGTTAACCACATATTTCTGGAAGAGTCTAACAATTAAGCTCAGACTTACGACTGGATTCAATTTAAATCAGACGGGACAGCTACGATGCATTTAAAGGACGCAAAAGAGAGGCTCTTGTTAAGTTCCTAAACAAACGTCCTTGGATATTACCAAAAATGAGAACCCCTACCATATCGAAATTTTGGCAATTCAGTCTCTCTTCACTTTCTCTGGTCAGCCGTTCTACATAACCTGGTGAAGGCGACATTCAGGCTCAGTTCCCAGGTAAATCTCTATTTTAACCTTCTACTTTTTTATGTTTTTAATCACATCGTAACTCACAAGGTGTGTACAACTATTTTCAAGCTGTGAACCTTGTATGTGACGGTTCCTTGCAATGCAAGTTCGGTCCATACAATCTTATAGGTTGGCAAGAAGGACGAGTGGGGGAATGTCTTACATGTGTGCGCTCGAGCAGAGTTGTGAAATTCCCCAGCCACCCCAAGACTCAACACCAACGACTTCTCAAGTTGCCAAAGACTCATTGTTGAAAGTAAGTAAGCCTTTGGTAAGTTTTCTATAGCCATAGTACATGCGTTAGTAAATACATTTTTTTTTTCAATTTTTTGAAATGAAGCAAGTTAAGTCGCCCACACACTAATTCAATGACGACATGAAGTTTCAGCAGGAGTTGAAGGCGTTGAGAACACATAGACGGCGAACTTGCAAGGAGCAAACGCACAATTTGCAGACCAAAATTGCCAGTCAAAGAAGAGATAGCTCCATCAAGTACAAGCTACTCTTGACTTATGATACTTACGTTTCTTAGATGTAGAGAGGATAGAACAATTAAATAAAACTTTAAGATTTAGGAAGCTATACTCCGAGTTAGCAGGGATCTGAAGAAGGACGTTTACCAAGAGGCTACTTTTCGTAAGTGAATTACCTTCATGCAGTTGCAAGAAGTGATTTTCTGACATTGTGTCCAATCTTGTCGATAGATCAGCTCAATGTTTGTGAACTGCTCCCAATCAAGCGCAGAAATAAAGTGCAAGTTTTGGCGTTGAACTCTTCGGGATCTCAAAACGTGAGCGTTCTTTGGGGTCTCATGTTCGAAATTTTATCGGAGAGACAACAAACGTTCAGAAGAAAACAAGATCATTATCTTTAAGTCTTCCGATTGTTGACATAACTGTATTTAACAAGGCTTATTTGAAGTATAACCAGCTCATTACTCAAAACCACTTCATTTTTTCGATGTCCGAAACAACCGCACCTGAGCGAACACATATCGATGTTCACTTTCAAGGTTGCCACAAGCGCCCAGTTCAAATTCAAATTTGCCCAATTGAAGCTCATCTGACAAACACATTGTAAGACTCTCCAAGTAGTCTTTGACACGAGATTGAAGGCACTTAAGCCGATGTCCTATGAACCAACCTTCCAGATGAGACAATGCACTGAAGATTTCCGGAAACCTTGCGCAATTCTGAGAGAGAACCGAGACGGCCGACTCATCTCCTTTCTTGAGAAGATGACGCCATCTGGAAGGTAGTCGAAAGGACAGAACATAGCACCAACCGGTACTTGCGTGGTACAAATGATTGAAGGAATTTGTCGAAGGAAGACGAAGGAGAGAACCACGAGGAAGAGGAAACCGAGAAGTTTCCTGAAGCCGGCTACATGCTGGCAACCCTTGTTGCGATGACGGTTACGAATATTTCCCAAGCCTACCATCATACACAATCCGCAACAAGGAGACAGGCATAAGGTTCTTACCCCAGTCCTCACAACTTGGGACACTTGAACCTTAACCTTCCGGAATCGCGCGTTCAATTTCCATGGCAGGCTTGTCCGCATTCAATGGGTTCCAATCCAGGCAGAGAGCGAAGGATCAGACACATATGACGGTGGACAAGCTCACAACCGTAAGGAGAACTCCGAGTGTTCTAAGAGTAAAAAAATTATTTTAGGGGAACCCAAGTAATTTAAGTGTTTATTGGATAGTTGGACTTAATGTAATTTGGAAAAATAGCTCCCGACTTTTGATTGGGGCTCTTCGTATCCGTTGCGTAGGGTCGTCAGAGGGTTTGGTGAATTGCCAATTAGGACGATTTGTCCTCCCGGCATTGAGGATGTTGCTGTAGAGTCTCATGACTTGCTTGCACAGACACTTTCCTTGGAACGTTGGCTTTCGGTGTCGAATGCCGATGTCATTGAATCGAATGACCTTTTTGTCGTCTTGGTTGCATGTTGTGTCTCGTGCTGAAATAGTGACCGAAATTCAGACAACAGTTTATTGAAGTTTGAGACCAGATGGTGTATATCGGACCGCGATTCAAGACTCGAGGCGTTGTAGCGCGCCATGAAATTAAACGGAAATTAGTAGGAAGGATATAATGGATGGTTGCCACCACCTCCATCCCCCTTTCTGTTCCTCAAGTAAATAAGCTTTCTCGTTTCCAAGAATTCCCACTTTTATTTAAATTCGAATTTTTTATTTCATGCAATGTTTAACTATTTCACATTCATCTTCTTTAAACACCCCAGTACTTACGCTTGGAGAGGACATGAACTTCGGTGAAAATTTTGTCCAATTTGAATTGACCCATCTTTTCACCGACCATTCCCATTTCAATGAGTTTGTTGTATCCTTCTTCGTTCGTCATGAGTGCGTCAATGTTCTCATAGTAAACCTTGACTTTGGATTTGACTTCGGAGAAGAATTTGTTGTACTCGTCAAGGACTGCTTTTGCGAACTGAGGGTAAGACCAATGTTCGACAATAGGTTTTAATGTGGTTACTAAGCCACTTTGACCTTGAGTGAATTCGTACTTCAAAACAAAAGGAGAAAACCTTTCAACAAAGTTGTCGACCTTCTCATAATGTTTACTCTTCATCTCTTGAGGTTTCTTAATGGAATATCCCCATGTCGAATTCATAAGCAATTTGAGTGTCATTGCAAGTTTGGGGTTTGAAGCTTTCCTAATATCATACAGTTGTTGTATGACTTTTCCAACTGTATAGTTCCTTCCCGGGAACTCACCATCTTCGTTTGGAATTCCAGTCGGAATATATTGGACAAACCTCATGTATGCAGCGTTAAGGTCGACATAGTATATCTTTTCATCTGAGTCGAACTTGTCGCAACCAATTGGTCCAGTTTGTGGAAATTCAAGTGAGTCTCTTATCTTCTGAGAAACTTCTCCTGTTATCTCATAAACATCGTCGAAGCAACCTGTTTCATATAAAACCTTCTGACCTAACTCAGATGCTCTCCAATACAATTTGACGTCAATTGGATGTCTCAATGGAAGTTTGTTTATAGCATCTTGAAGTTCTTGCAACCTCATTGGAAGTTCTTCTGGTTCAGGTTGGTATCCGAACATACCAACCCCTTGTGGAACTGTGTACTTCTTTTGTACTAGAACTTTGTCTGGAACAACTTTTGGTCTTGCTAACAATGAAAAGTTTGTTTCGTCTTTTGGTACAAAAGTTTCTGTCAGCTTGTCATCTGGAATTGGTTCCAACAAACCTTTCTCGAAAAGAATGTTTACAGCTCTGACAATGTTGCACTTACTTTTACCAAAGAATGGGTTTGTAAGACTTTCGTTCAACATGAAGTGGTTGTGGACAATTACAATCTTCAACCATGGTAAGTCTTTGTCAACAACATAGTCGTCATGTGAAGAACCTTTAGCTGTAGGTATGTTGACTCGGATATTGACATTTGCCAACGGTGCAATTTTTGCCAATTGACCTCTGAGAATGTACCTTGTCTTCACACATGACTCAAGATACTTCATCTTCTCATCTGTAACAAGACCAGAGTTCCTGAGACATGTAAGAATGCAAGGTTCATTGACAATTGTTTCAATTGAATTGTAAATTCCATACCTTGTCAAGTCAATGTCAGACTTATTTATGAACGGGAAGTATCCAGCATGTTGTCTGACTGCTTGAGGGTTAGGTTGGTACCATTCGAACTTGACACTTGCAATTCCTTCAATTGCATTCAAAATGTCTGAGTCGGAGTCAACCATTTGTTCTCTCTTTGTAGTCTTGAAAGCGTCAAGAAGTTTTGCGGCTGTTTGTTCATTGCCATGTGCATAGTAAATGTGACCATCCAAATCTGTTATGGTCAATCTGAGATTGTGTCCTTTCTTATTTCCGTCTTGAATTGCAGCAAGTACTCCCATGAAGCCTTCTTTGTTCTTTCCTTCGTCAAAGTTTACTGTAAAGGTTCGACCAGATGTAATTTGACTTCTAACTTCACGATACTTTTCATATGCATATCTTGTTCTTTCCATGGGAGCATGTGCGTCTTCACCTTTTCCTTTTTTCCTTCTCAAAGGATGCAATTGTTCGTCATGTTTCCAGTAGAATCTGGCAAAGCCGTCGTGTCCTTCAACTTGAGGTTCACTAACATCGAAAGGCATGTCCATAAGACGTTCTTCTTCTAACCTCTCTAGTCTGTTTGGATAATTGGCACGTGCTGTTTCCAAATCCATTTCGTAGCGAAGACCAGACAATTTGTCATAGACTTTTATGGGTCTTCCCTTCCTATATTTAAAATTCTTCGAAACTCTCCAACCATATCTTTGTAACTCTGCTTTTATTCTAGCAGACTTTCTATCCATTCTATATGGGGGCATTTTTATAAAAAAAAATAAAAAAATATTTTTTTTCTTTACTTTACATAACCGCCTGCTGCCATAAGTCTTTGACGCCAACCCATACCAGCTAATGAAGGTTGACTTGGTTTAGTTTGGAAACTAAACTTTGGTTTTGGTTTATCTTCAGTTTTTGGTTTTTCTTCTTCTATCGGTTTTTCGTCACTTTTCGGTTCCTCTGACTTTACTTCACTTGCAGGAACAGTTGTGTCGTCAACATCTTCATAAATATCATATGCCATTTGTTTTTGTTTTCCTTTCAACTTTTTGTGTTTGTTGTAAAGTTTAGAATATTTCGACTCTAAGTCAATGAGATGTTCTATAATGAACTGTTGGTCAGTGAAGTAAACTTTTCCATCTGTTGTCTCGAAAGCTCCTTCAGACTTCAATATTTTATTTGTGAGAGTCTGTTTCTTTTTTGAGATACTAGCCGTTCCATTTCTATGAAAAGTGACTTTATAGTTAGGGTTTGTATTTCCAGACCTGGCACTTTCTATTATTGAATTTTTCTCTTCATCTGTAAGTTCTTTGACAGGTTTTGACAATGGTTCTGAACTTTTTGTTTGTGGTGTCAAATCTACCGTTTCAACTTCTTCGGTCATTTCATCTCAGTAAAAAATTTTAGTTTGGTTTGTTTTCAACTGGTTGTTGTTGTGGAGGTGGGATGGTTCCTTTAATAATATCATTCAGTTTCACATGCTGAGCCTGACTATATGGTATCGGTTTAAATGCTGGAAGCCGACAAATCCATCTTGAACTCATTTGTCTCAATGCTGCATTGTTCATTTCATCTCAATAAAAAACTTTACATTCCCCACGTTTGAGGCGGTTGAGGTTGGTTATTGTTTACCCACTGTTGTGCATGGTTATATCCTCTGTTAAAGAATCTTTCACCTTGGTCCATATAGTGTCCTGCTTGGTTATAGTAGTCATTTGCTTTGTTATAATAGTTTCCTGCTTGTCTTCCTACATTGTCCATCCATCCTTGAACTTTTCCTCTTGTTTCAGGATTTGGAATAAGATTTGTTGCATCTCGTGCTACATCCCAACCTTTCTGTACAGTTTGTATAATAGGTTGTGCTTTCTCTTTAGTATACCTAATGTACTCAAAATCTTCCTTCCAATCCAAATGCACCTCTGGCTATTGTTCCCACTGCGGGTAAAAATCTAGATGCACTCCTGCTAATGCGCCAAATAAACCCATTTCTTATAGGGTAAAAAATGACGAATCCGAACAAGGACCCCTATGTTTCTAAAGCGACAAAGAAAGCACTCATGATAAAAATCTTTAGTTCAACACCAAATGCTTGGTTTATGGATATCTTGGAAAACATTCCGAGGTATAGAAGATGGACCACCATACTGGTTAATATTTGTTGGTCAAAACACAAGATACTGTGAAGCCATACCATTATGGTCCAAAAATATTTTAGATGTGAAAACTGCTTTGACAATATTCGTTGACAAATACCATCCAACAAAACTGACATCTGACTGTGAAAGTTCTTTCAAATCAGATGATGTAAAAAACTATCTGCGTTCAAAAAATGTAAACCAATATTTCATTGTCGACCAAAACCATTCTGCTCTTGGTGTCATTGACGGATGTATAAAAATGTTAAGAGACTTAAACCAACCACAAGGTGGTGAAGCAAATGAAATGTCATATGACGACAAGTATAGACACTTCTCCATGGCAAAGATGAGACAAGTTTTAAATATTTACAATAACCGTAAACAAAAAGGTTTGGGAAACCACTCCCCCGAAGAAATGAAAAACAACCCTGACTTAGAGAAAGACTATATATTTAATAATTTAGTCAAAAGAGACAAACAAGAAAGAATGCCGGGCTTCAAACTTCAGAAAGGTGACAAAGTAAAAATAGAAATACCTAAACGCGACCCATATGAAAATACTATTGACTATGACAACAATGGGAACCGACAGGTACTCACATTCGTGTTCGTAAAAATAGAAGAAAGTATACAAGAGAATATTATGAAGTTTTAGGCAAACATGGCAAAATGTACACACTGCAAGCAGAAGATAAAACTACTATTGTCAGACCTCGTTTCAAACTTGTCAAAGTTCAAGGTGGTATACTTTCAAAGACAGTTCCTAACAAATATAAGACAACTCCTGACGAATATGCTAAAGAAGTTGAAAATGACGACTAAGCAATTCTATACCATGCGTAAACTGTCATGTAAGGTGGCATGTATTCTTTACTTTGTCCCGTTGTTTGCGTATATCCTGAAACGAAATGTGTATGGTTTCCTTCTCCCTGCGTGTCATCCCAGTAACAATTTATAGCAAACTTAACGTCGTCTTTAACATCATATCCTTTACCTTTTGTCATTCCTGACCAATCCCAATATCTATGCTTATGCCAACCTGCTTGAGATGTACTTAAATCTATGTAATGACTGTGTGCAGGTAAATTTTCACCTGAAATCGTTTTACTTCCACCTGTTTCCTTTGAAGAGTTTGCACAATACAAAAACCTGTCGACTATTTGTTCCCATGCACCAACACCAAACATTACTTGAGGACCTCTTGCATCCATAGATGTATAAATAGAACCTACTGGGTTCATTAAATCAAACATATGAGATATTATAGGATTGTCTCTTTTGAACTTAAAATATAGTGCAACTATTTCAGGTTTCTTCTGGTTTGTGTCAGAATATTTTTTATAATATAATCTTATGTTTTCAGGGTAGGTACAGTCTTGACTATAATATTTATTTCTGTCATCTGTATAATAATATACTATTCTCGTTTTTTCTATTGCATTATATCTTTTATATCTATAATAATCTAAATATAATGTTAGCTTTTGTTCATCTACATGTGGTGTTCTGTCGTCATCTCCATAGTCATAATAATGTGGTGCCGGAGCTGGGTCAGGTAATATCATATCCACCATTTCATAAACTCTTAAATATTTCTTTTGTTCGTCTCCATATAAGTTTAAGTAGCAGTTGTTGTCTAATGGAACTTTAACTTGTGTACCATCATTCTTTTTATAGCTTACATACATTTCATTGTTATTTTTCGGAATGAGTTTATACCGTGTACCATTTTCTAAGGACTGTACCAACTGCCATCTAAAATATTTATTTTCTTCATTGACAGAAAAGTCACCAACAATAGTTTCAATATTTTTTGTTCCTATCAAACTTTGGTATATTTCATTGACATATGTTTTATCTGCTTTATTTTCAAGGCTAACGTTTAAGTCTGTTATTTCAGAAGATGTATGTGTATGTCCAACGGCACTTTTCCTGTTTAAGGTTTCTTGTAAGTTTGTAATATCAGATATAGAATGTGTATGTCCAACGGCACTTTTCCTGTTTAAGGTTTCTTGTAAGTTTGTAATATCAGATATAGAATGTGTATGTCCAACGTCACTTTTCCTGTTTAAGGTTTCTTGTAAGTTTGTAATATCAGATATAGAATGTGTATGTCCAACGGCACTTTTCCTGTTTAAGGTTTCTTGTAAGTTTGTAATATCAGATATAGAATGTGTATGAGTCTTATCTGCTTTTGTCTCTAATGTTTCCTTAAGACTTGGTATTTGGTTAATATAATGTATATGAGTCTTTTTAGAATATTCGTTTTCAGCTCTTGTCACTTCACTTGACATTTTATTGTCAACATATGTTTTGTCTGCTAGTTCAGGATGAGTATGTTCTTTTGTTGCATAAGCATTGTTAGCTCTTTCTTCTTCTTTTGCTATTGCATCGTCTACATATTCTTTGTCAGCTTTGTTGTCAACATCTGCTTTCAAAAGAAGTTCATTTATAGGTTTCTCGTTTAAAGTTCCTTTTGTTGGATTTATACAGACAGTATTGTTCTTCTTGTCTTGAAATAGAAACTCATCTGTCATTGGGTTTATTGTCAGTTTTAAGTCACCCCCTTTCAATGACTCAGATATCTTAGAATAGTTTGAAAAGTTTGTTGTGTTCTTATTTAGAGCTTGCATAATGAGTTGTCGGTTGTGTTGTATTTCTCTCATAGACGCTGTTTCATTTGACATTTTTATTATAGATAAAATATGCTTCCAATAGAAAAAGAAAATTCTAGAGTTGCTACAACTAAACCATTAGATGAACTTTTTACTAATGTCGGTCAAAAGTTTGAGACAGATACCGTAAAGCATGAAGGCTATCGTTTTGACTACCCATTAAGATGGTTAAGAGACCCATCTGTCACAAAAGCTATTGGCTTTCGAAGAATGAAGTTTGTGTCTGTAGAAGATAAAAGTTTTCCATTTATTGTAAGGTTTCATATAGATTATACATCTGAAGGGCAACGAAAAATGTGGGAAGAAATTGAGCTAATACAAGTTGACCTCTCATCTTCTCTACAGACTGCATTAAAAAATATAGAAGATAAAATAAATTCATGTTATGCAAAATATGCTGATGAATATGCGAATACCGATAGCACACTTTATGTGAGAATTGTATATGACAAACAAAATTCACAAGTGTCATTTCAAATCTACGAAGACAATCCAAATAAATACGAACAAATATATACAGAATTCACTGCAATGTCATGGTATTATTTGAAAAGAATGTTAAATCAGAAAGTTGAACCTCCTTTAGCAAATATCTACAGTCGATATGCAAGAGATGAACCATATTTATTTAAAGATGTTTTCGACCCAGATGCTATTATTGTTCATGCTTCATTTTCTGGCGCCCAAAACTCTTTCTTATGCTTGGCAAATGACTTTTACGAAAAACCTACAAAGTTATACGAACCACCAAGTGGAAGTATTTCAGACTTTCAAGTATGGTTTACTACAGATGGAAGAAAAAGAATAATTCCATTATACCATGCGTTTTACTTAGAACTTAGTTTCATATACAACTACTATCGAACGGTAAAAATATAACTTTTTAATATACCGGTTGTGGTTGCCAACTTGACTGTGGTGCAGGTTCAGGCTGTTGTATTACAGGAGCTTGTTCTTCTGGTTCAGGGTCTTTAGGTATAATACCAACAAACTGACCTACTCTTTTACCAATATTTTTGACACCGTTCCATACTCCTCTTCCGACAGATTTTATTCCATTCCATATACCTCTTCCAACATTTCGAAAGAAGTTTCCTATCTTACTGAAGAAACCCATTTTACTATATGTAAAAATCTAATGTCCGCCTAGTCTCTTACGTTTCCTGTTGAGTTCCATAGCATTCTTTAACTGGAGCTCATACATTCTGTTTCTCCTCTGGTAGAAAACATATTCTGGGTCAACTCCTGTGTTCGCGTCATCTGCATAAAGTTGTTTATATCCCACTTCAGGGTTTGTATAAAACTCTTTCCATCTCATATTTGCATACCATGGTGGCAAACCTAACGCAGCGTCATTTGACATGGCAGTTTGCATTTGTACATCTGTTGGCACTTGACCATAGTTTGCCATTGCAGTTTGTATTCTAACTTCATTTGGAATATTCTCTGGGTTTGGTTGTCCAGGTTGCTGTGCATTCGCTAAGTTCTGTGCGTCCATTTAATATTAGATAAAAATATCTCTTACGAGTACATATGCTGAACATTTGCAGGCATTGGTTCATCTTCATATTCTCTGTACTTTTCTGCCACGTCAAATAAATAAATGACACAATGGAAAAAACCTAAAACAAGTAGTCCTATTTCAAACCACATTTACTTACTAATAAAATTTCTTTATTGTGACACTTTCTCCAGTTTATAGGACCTCTCTCATATTCTATCTTGTCATATATAAACTCATAGTCATGTATGTCCTCTAACCATCTCATAACGGTTTCCAAACCACTTTTATCGGATGTAAAGTAAAAGCATGGATGGTTATGTATAACGTCTAAAGTTTCTAAAGAGTCTCTCAAAGTCCAGTCTACTTGGTATTGAAAATCCCATGTGTTATAGAACGGCGGGTCCACTATAAAGAAAACATTTTCCTTGTCTTTATATTTTTCATACAACTCTGTCCAATGACATCTCACAAACTCTATACCCTCAATATATTTTTCTATGTCCTCTTTGAAAACATTTGTATAGTTAAGATATAAAACTTTTGACATAAGTGTTTCAATGTCATGAACTCTTATAGAACCACTATATAATAGTCTAGCAGATATACTATCCCAGTCTATATATTCTGCTTTTTTCAAAACCTCTCTCACAATATTTTTCTTATCTAATGGTATACGTTCCATCTTACCTATAGGTATCTTTTCTTTTAACTCTTTCAATATATTGTTTGTGTCTGGAATATGTTTGAGACGGTCCATATAGTTGTCGAAGTCATTGCATATAATCTTTGAGTCTGGGAATATTGTATGACATAAATGGGATATATAGAAACTTCCACCGAACAAATCTACAAATGTTAGACCATTCGGTAGTTTCTTAAGTTCTCTCAATATAATATCTTTACATCTACTCTTATTTCCAAAGAACGGTAACGGTGGTTTTGTAAAATTCATTTATATATAATAATAAAAATGTTTTTACCCGAAAAGTGACAGAAAAGTGACAAAACATGAAAACATATATAATTTGTGAAAAGCGACATAAAAAGTGACATTTTAAAAAGTGACACTATTAATATGATGTAAATAACAACGGTTTTGGTTTTGTCACCGGCTGGTCGGCTGGGGTTCGGTCCTCCTCTTGGGTCTTGGGCAAAATTTCTTATGGGCTAGAGGGCGCAACGCGCCTGGAAGCCCCACTTACCTGACCTAAAGACCGCCTTAACAAATTTAAGCATTTTGGAAAAAGATGCTATCCTGAGGAATATCTATTAAAGGAACCCGAAAATCAACATAATAAGGGAATTTTGACATCAACTCCATTTCATTTTTTGTGTCGTTATCAGAATCAGTACTGGAATCGCTTTTTGAGTTGAACTTAGATTTTCGAAGTAGGTAGAATAAACGATTACGGACAGCAGATGCTGTTCTCCCATAGAGGAGATCAGCAATTTTTTGCCAAGAGTTTCCTAATTGAGAGTACTGAGAGATAATTAATTCATCTTCGCTTGGTGACCATTCACTATGCTTTAATTTTGGGTCGAGATAATTATTGTATCTTTCACGGCATTGTCGAGCGGTTTTTCCTTTCATGTCAATAGCAATTGTTTTCCAATTAAGGCAATTGCTGGAACTCTTAACCAGCTTAAACAATTTTTGGTCTTCTTCTTCGGTGAATAAAGTTCTCTTTGCTTTTGGCTTGCTCATAAAGTCTGTATGCATATTTCAAAAATGGTCTTTTTAATTCAGAGAAGTAAACAAATATTTGAGAGCTGAAAAAGTTGATCTATATGGGCGCAAAATATTTTAGTAAGTATAAGTTGAAATAGCAATATCTTCTATCTTTTCGGTTTTATTTGAATATGCCATAAATTTCAATTCCTATCGAAGAGAAAAGACTTACATTCAATAATAAATAGAATTATCAAGTAAAATTCAGATAGAGGGAAAATTCCTCTCAATTTAATTAGAATTTAGTATAAAAATGGGATTATTTCATATATGTTATAAATCACATGGAAAGTTCATATATCATTAAATTATGATTAACATTTTTTTGATTGGACTCTTAATTCATTCACAAAGAAAAGTATTCAATAATTTTGTTTGATAAATCTGAAAATTTGACTGGCCAAAATGCTAAGAGGACTGTTGTTTTATTTATTATCAATCATGAAGGATTTTCATACTATATTATATTAAAAAATCGGTTTAGTTGAAAATTCGTAAATATTTTTGAATACATAATTTCATATTCAAAATTTTTAAAGCTTAATTTCTTTGAGTTCCTCATATACCATATACAATGCATGCTTTTCTAATTTTACTCGAATCTTTCAAAAACAACACGAGATTTTACTTCTATATTCAAAAATAGTAATTTGATTTCTCTTTTTATTTTATATCTCCTATCATGTTATTAGATGTTTCGCATTCCTCTTTTCAAAATTTTTTACAAATATCCATCAGTAGTATATGTGGAAGGGTTGTGTGACTTTTTTTGTAAACGTAAGAATTCATACAATATCGAGCGATTTTGTATCATTTTTTTTAACATATGAAGTAAAAAATGTATGATTCTTACGGTTTTTATTCTTACGTTTTTGAATAAATCAAGATTTAAAAAATTTTCAAAATTGTAAGACATTTACACTCAGCCCAAACATAAACACATTTTAAAAAATTAACATTAATTTTAAAATAATTTTTTTATCTTTTATAAAAGAAGCTATATATAGATGATGTCAGATATTCCGCGATTAATTAAACATTGTTTAAATCCTGAATGGAATCAATGGAGTCATAATCAAAGACCTCATAAACGAGTAAAAGAAATTAGAAATAATTATTTTCATGAATAAAAGATTCACTACCATAATGAAATAAAAAAATAAACTTTAAAAATTTTTAAAAAATAAACTTCTTACGAAAAATTAAACGCAAGACTATCAAAAGATAGAGTTGAAAGAGTAATGGTAATGATGAAGAAGAATTTGATGAGTTCAACATAGAACTTTAAGAAACTAATGATTATTTGAATTTATGAAATCAATTATTTGATTCATTCTTTCTTCAATCTCTTCTATTCTTTTTGTTAAATCATCTATTTTCATTAATGAGGTGATTCTTGATTGAGGAATAGATTTCAAACTAACCACTCCTTTTATTTTTGAAATTTTGAATCCATCAACTTTAAACATTTTATTCAATTTACACGTTGTCAATTCTTCAAATATTTTTTTATTGTTAGCATAATAGTCATTAAATTCTTCAACAGATGAAAAAATTTTTATTTCAATAATTGGTTTAACAACATTTATTTTTTGTTGAACATTTTCACTTTCATTTATTTCTTCCTCCTCTGTTTCATTTATTTTTAAAATCGGTTTCATTTATCATTAAATAAAAATTAGAATATAAGTGATGAAATATATTTTTTAATTAATATTAAATCAGAAATGGCGGCAGGATTCTTTAAAAAATTATGGGATGGAATTAAGAAAGCTGCGGGTTGGGTTCATAAAAAGATTATTAAACCCATTGCAAACTTTTTGGCACCAGTAGCGAAAACGGCAGGAACTATCATAGGTGGAGTATTAGGTACTAAAGCAGGTAATCCGGCGATGGGAGCACAAGCAGGTAACGCAGTTGGTGGAATAGCTGAAGGAATACTTAATAAAATAGGAGGTAGATAGTGGAAAAATAAATAAATATTATTTTTATCTTAGTATCGGTTGAAGTCTTTGATAAACTTTTTCTCCTTTATTTAATATTTCTCTTATTGGGGCAGCTTTTGGTGTTATTGATTCAGCAACGTCACTAATTGCTTCTTTATTCTTAAATATCCAATTTGCTCCCTTCTTCAATGTTTCCCAAACTTTACTCGCTCCTCTTTTTACTCTATCCCACAGTTTCTTAAATATACCTGCAGCCATAGTTGATTATTTCATCAAAATTAAAAATTCATTTTCATCTTTTAATTTTGATTTTTTATTTATTAATAAATGACGACTAACTATTTAGTGCCAAACACCAAACCGATTAATGGAAATGTGTTTCATTCATTCGAAAAGATAAATGAAATATTCGCAAAGAATGACAGTAGAAGATATTATAGAGAACTTGAAAGTTCATGCTATGACTCTGATGCTCCATATTTTGATGATAAACAAACTCATTTAAGAATTACAAATCCGGCTCATGATGTGAACCAATTAGGTGACACATATATTAAACGCAAAGTTAAAGCAACTCTAGTTTCAAATAAAGCTTTCACATGTGATGCCGCTTTTAAATGCATGCGTTTATTCGTTGGTTACAAATCATCAAATCAAAGCTTTAAACAATTAGAAGTAGAAACCGAAAGAGGTGATGCCGGTTATCTTCAGATGGATTGCGCCCGTGAATCTTTCGCATTTGCAACATATAAACCAAAATCAGAAAGGAAAGTTAAAAAGTTTGTTCATTCGTTATATAATAATGTTCAAAAATATGATAACTCAGTATGTGGTAAATATATTGACCTATCAGAAGTTTTCAAGAAAGCAAATGAAGAAGTTGATGTCACTTTTGATATGATTATTCCGGTAAATGATTTGTTAGCATTTCAGGCGTTCGATGATTATCCTAAATCATTTGGTGATATCATTCTTAAATATTATGTTTTCAGGGATACTTTAGTATTTTGTCAGGTTGACCCGTTAAGAGTTGCTGATTTACAAAATTACGTTTATGAAAAGATAACTGATGAAAATTATGAAAAGATTATGAATCATGTTTATAAATATGATCGCAAATTCCAACAAATCGGACTTCCTGCCAAATTAATTACAAGCTTAGCCGCTACATCTGCTAACGCAACAGTTGATGACGTTATTATTTCATGCACAAAGATGGAAGTTTTAGAGGATAAATGCATTACACCAGGATACGGTTTAATTGAAGAATCAGTTAAAGCAATACCACGTTTATTCAGTAAGGAAGATCCATTCATGATTCCAGCTCAACATATTGACGTTCGTTCACTAAATGGAGGTTGCATCACTCCTGAAGGTATTAGCTCAGATTTCTCATACGCTCTTCATAATGTTACAGATGTTGTGTTAACATTTCCGAAGAATGCAATGCAAAGAACGGTTTTAGAAAATCCAATGCTTCGAGGTCTTCAGGTCACTATAGATTCCAGAAACTTCCCCGATCAAGCGATGACCACAGTGGGCGACATATTCTTTACACGTATGCTTCAAGCTTCTGATTTAGATGGAGTGAATGAATGCACAGAAGAATATGAGGACTCATTAACTAGACCACTGAATGATGATGATGATGGCACGCCATTAGCTAGAAAATGGAAAGACCAAACTTCATTCTTATGCACTATTCCAGTTCAACGTGATGGAGCGGGTATATTCTTTGATGGATTAGAAACTTTCAATTCACAAGTTACAGTACAAGTGAAAGCTTATCCAATCATTCAGGGTGAAAATGACACTTACTGTTCAAAGGTGACAAATCCTCCTCAGGTTTGGTTTACTAGGACTACGTATTGGACATGGACACCGGACGAAGGTTTGAAATATCATCCAACAGGTACACCACCGCAGTATAGAAGTTCATATGATGAAATATTGATGAATAGAAATGTTTAAAATTATAAATTTATTTTTGATTAAATGGATTTAAATTCATCCACCCCTTATGAAGAATTAGCAGGAGTATATAATACATACGTAGATGATATGATTAATGAAGCATTGAGTGATAATAGAAATGCTCTATCTAAGGAAAAATTAATGAAAATTCCATATTCTGAATGTTACTTAAATTCAATCACTGCAGCAATTGGTAAACAAAATAAAGGTAAAACATTAACGATATTAAAACAAATTATCATTATTGCTAACACTTCCCCCTATTCACATGTGTTAATTTATATCAACCGTTCAGGTTCACCTTCAGATGATACATTTGAATCTTTAAAGCATTTAATCAAAATTCCAATTATTTATTTATCACAAGAAGAAGCAGAAGATTATTTAAAAAACTTTTTAATGTATAAAGAATTATATAATACAATCAAGAAGCAAGGATTAGAGGATAAAATTATTGATAAACAACGGGATGAATTATTTGAAACACTTTCTATTTCAAATTTTGATAGAGAATTTTTGCATTCACTCATTTTTCTAGATGATGCAGTGAAATCAAAACTAATAACAAATGAGAAATCATATTTTAATCAGTTATTAACTCAATGTCGACACATTCAGTGTTCATTCTTCATGGCTGTTCAATATTTCAAAGCATTAAGCACAAACATTAAATCAAATCTATCAACACTTTTCATTTTCAGTGGGTTTAGTCGTCAACAGTTGAACGTTATGCTTTATCAAGTGAATTTACCAATGAGCATTAATGAACTTTACACACAATATCAGCAATTAGGTGAACATGGAAAAATAATAGTTGATTTAAATAAAGGAAGTGTTAAATTTGATTAACTTTTTATAATTAATTTTTGTTTTTTATTTATAATTAAACATGACAGAAATGGCAAATCTTCTACAGGTTCCATTAAAACAAGGGACAAACAAAAAGGGTGCATATAATAGAACTATGAAAGTTCCTGATGGAATGAAAGAATTAGTTCATATTGTTGCTGGTCTTCAAAAAGATGTTAAACAAATGAGAAACGTTTTAACATTACCAGAAGCTCAAGCATA